AAATGACGAACTCAATAGATTAAATGACAAACACATTAGAGAGCCTTAAAAACAGAATGGGTGAAGCAGAAGAGAGAATATCGGACTTAGAAGACAGAGCACAGGAAAGTATACAGTCAAACCAAAGGAAAGAAGAGGAAATTAGAAATCTAAAAAATATTGTTGGGAATCTACAGGATACTATTAAAAAACCCAGCATTCAGGTTCTAGGAGTTCCTGAAGGCATGGAGAGAGAGAGAGAAAGGATTAGAAGGCCTTTTTAGTGAGATACTAACAGAGAACTTCCCGGGGTGGAGCAGGACAGAAACATCCTAGTACAGGAAGCTCATAGAACCCCTAATAAACATGACCAACAGAGATCCTCACCACGAAAGGTTGCAATCAAACTCACCACAGTGAAACATAAAGAAAAGATTCTAAAATGTGCAAGAGAGAAACATCAGATTACTCTCAGAGGATCTCCAATTAGACTCATAGCAGACTTCTCATCAGAAACCCTACAGGCTAGAAGGGAATGGCAAGACACAGCCCAGGTACTAAGAGAAAAAAACTGCCAGCCCAGAATATTATATCCTGCAAAGCTATCATTTGTGAATGAAGGTGAAATAAAGACCTTTCATAGAAAACAGAAATTGAAAGAATTTGTCGCCACTCGTCCAGCCCTGCAAAAGATGCTTAAACATGTGTTACACACAGAATCACAGAAACATAGTCATCAATATGAAAGAAGGTAAAGGAAGGAAACCTCACAGCAAAAGATCACAGGAATTTCAAAGCATATATTAGAAAATATCTTTGGCAAATGGCAGGGCAAAGTTACTACTTATCAATAGTCACATTGAACATTAATGGCCTCAGCTCTCCAGTTAAAAGACACAGATTGGATGATTGGGTTAAGGAACAAAACTCATCTATTTGCTGCTTACAAGAAACACATCTTTCCAACAAAGATGCATACAGACTGAAAGTGAAAGGCTGGAAAAAGATATACCATGCCAACAGAAATGAAAAAAGAGCAGGCGTAGCCATATTAATATCAGACAAAATAAAATTTAACACAAAAAATATTAGGAGAGAAAAAGAGGGGCACTATATAATGATTAAGGGATCAACTCAACAGGAAGATATAACGATTATCAATGTATACGCACCTAATTACAGGGCACCAGTTTATTTAAGAGATTTGTTAAGGGACTTAAAGGGAGACTTAGATTCCAATACAATAGTATTGGAGGACTTCAATACTCCACTCTCAGAAACAGACAGATCAACAAGAAAGAAGATCAACAAAGAGACAGTAGATTTAAACGACACTATATCACAAATGGATCTAACAGATATCTACAGAACTTTTCATACTACACATAAAGAATTTACATTCTTCTCAGCAGTACATAAACCTTCTCTAGGGTTGACCACATACTAGGCCATAAAGCAAGTCTCAGCAAACTCAAAAGAATTAGAATCATACCATGCAGCTTCTCAGACCACAGGGGAATGAAGTTGGAAATTAGCAACTCAGGAATCCCTAGAGCATATGCAAACACACAGAGATTGAACAACATGCTCCTGAATGAACACTGGCTCATAGAAGAAATCAAAAGAGAAATCAAAAACTTTCTGGAAGTAAATGAGGATAACAGCACAACATACCAAAACTTAATGAGATACAGCAAAAGCAGTGTTAAGAGGAAAGTTTATAGCAATAGGTCCTACATCAAGAAGCTGGAAAGGCACCAAATAAATGAGCTTTCAATTCATCTCAAGGATCTAGAAAAACTGCAGCAAACCAGACTCAAATCTAGTAGGAGAAGAGAAATAATTAAAATCAGAGAAGAAATCAATAGGATTGAATCCAAAAAAATTACAAAAAATCAGCCAAACGAGGAGTTGGTTTTTTGAAAGAATAAACAAAATTGACACCCCACTGGCCTAACTAACTAAAAAAAGAAAAGACCCAAATGAATAAAATCAGAGATGAAAAAGGAAACGTAACAACAGACACCACAGAAATAAAAAGAATCATCAGAAACTACTACAAGGAATTGTATGCCAGCAAACAGGGAAATCTATCAGAAATGGATAGATTCCTGGACACTTGCAACCTACCTAAATTGAACCAGGAAGACATCAAAAACCTAAACAGTCTCATAACTGAGACAGAAATTGAAACAGTAATAAAGGCCCTCCCAACAAAGAAATGCCCAAGACCAGATGGATTCACTGCTGAATTCTACCAGACATTTAAAGAAGAACTAACTCCAATTCTTCTCAAACTATTTAGAACAATTGAAAGAGAGGGAATCCTCCCAAATTCTTTCTATGAAGCCAGCATCACCTTAATTCCTAAGTCGGAAAAAGATGCAGCACTGAAAGAGAATTACAGACCAATATCCCTGATGAGCATAGATGCAAAAATCCTGAATAAAATTCTGGCCAATGGAATGCAACAATACATCAGAAAGATCATCCACCCAGACCAAGTGGGATTTATCCCTGGTATGCAGGGATGGTCCAGTGTTCGCACAATAATCAATGTGATACACCACGTTAACAGACTGCAGAAGAAAAACCATATGATTATCTCAATAGATGCAGAGAAATCATTTGATAAAATACAACACCATTTCATGATGAAAACTCTAAGCAAACTGGGTATAGAAGGAACATTCCTCAATACAATCAAAGCAATTTATGAAAAACCCACGGCCAGTATCCTATTGAATGGGGAAAAGTTGGAAGCATTTCCACTGAGATCTGGTATCAGACAGGGATGCCCACTCTCACCACTGCTATTCAATATAGTTCTGGAAGTTTTAGCCGGAGCTATTAGGCAAGAAAAAGAAATTAAAGGGATACAAATTGGGAAGGAAGAACTCAAACTATCCCTCTTTGCAGATGAAATGATTCTTATTTAGGGGAGCCAAAGAACTCTACTAAGAGACTATTGGAACTCATAGAAGAGTTTGGCAAAGTAGCAGGATATAAAATCAATGCACAAAAATCAATAGCCTTTGTATACAGAGACAATGTCACAGCTGAGGAAGAACTTCTAAGATCAATCCCATTCACAATAGCTACAAAAACAATCAAATACCTTGGAATCAACTTAACCAAGGACGTTAAAGATCTCTACGATGAGAATTACAAAATCTTAAAGAAATAGAAGAGGATACCAAAAAATGGAAAAATCTTCCATGCTCATGGATTGGAAGAATCAATATCATCAAAATGTCCATTCTCCCAAAAGCAATTTATAGATTCAATGCAATACCAATCAAGATACCAAAGACCTTCTTCTCAGATCTGGAAAAAATGATGCTGAAATTCATATGGAGGCATAGGAGACCTCGAATACCTGAAGCAATCTTGTACAACAAAAACAAAGCAGGAGGCATCACAATACCAGATTTCAGGACATACTACAGGGCAGTTGTTATCAAAACAGCATGGTACTGGTATAGAAACAGATCGATAGACCAATGGAACAGAATAGAAACACCAGAAATCAATCCAAACATCTATAGCCAACTTATATTTGATCAAGGATCCAAAACCAATCCCTGGAATAAGGACAGTCTATTCAATAAATGGTGCTGGGAAAATTGGATTTCCACATGCAGAATCATGAAGCAAGACCCGTACCTTTCACCTTACACAAAAATCCACTCAACATGGATTAAAGACTTAAATCTATGACCCAACATCATCCCCAAGACAGTTTTTATGACCAAGTCATCAGATCCTCAAAGGAAGTTTTTTAGAGATTTATTTATCTTAAAATCAGAGAGAGAGAGAGAGATCTTCCATCATTGACTGGTTCACCCCTCAGATAGTCGCACTCACCAGCACTAGGCCAAGCCAGAAGCTTCTCCCAGGTCTCCCACAAGGGTATCAGGGGCCTGAGTACTTGGACCATCTTCCACTGCTTTTTCCAACCATTAGCAAGGAGCTGGATCAGAAGTGGAGCAGCCAGGACAGGAATTGATGCTGACCCCAAAAGAAGTTTTTATGGTAGAAACTGTCACTATTTCAATGCACATAGAATGGATTAAAGGCCTTTGTCACAATATTTATTTCTGTTAATAATTTGAAGGCTCAAAAATGACTCTAGATTCTTAATGTCACAATATCTGTTAATATGTTTTGTCATTTAAAGATTACTCATTTATTTGAAAGGAAAGGAGGGAGGGAGGAAGTTCCATCCACTGTTTCAAGTGGCTGGAACAGCCAGAGCTGGGCCAATCTGAGCCAGGAGCCTCTTCTGGGTCTCCCTTGGAGTCACTGGGGCCCAATCACTTGGACCATCTTCCACTGCTTTTCCAGGTGCATTAGCAAGGAGCCAAATCAGAAGTGGAGCAGCTGGGACTCAAACTAGTGCCCACATGGGATGCTAGTGCTGCAGATGGTAGCTTTACCTGTCACACCACAGCACTGGCCTCTAAAATTTTCTTTTATATCACCTCTTATTAAATTTTTCTGCTTCAAGTTCTATTTTTCATTATAAGATTTATGTACTAGTTAGAAACACACAATGCTTTTGAGATTTCATGGCCTAACAGTATCCTTTAGGCAATAATTACCTTGGAAAATTATTATTCTTAAATTATTTTTAAAAGTATGTATTTCTTTATTTGCATAGTAATTAGCTTTTATTTAGCCATGGCTCTGTTTGGGATTCTTAAATTTTTTGCTGCTTATTATCATTAATATGCAACCTTATTTAAGAGGAAAAATGAAGTATGGCAAACATTTACTACACTTACTAAATATTTATTATATACCAGATGCTGTTAATGCTTTACATTTGTTTATTTATTTAGCCATCATAATAATTTTCTAGAGAGTAACTGTCACTCTGCTATTTTAATAAATGGATAATCAAAAGTACAATATTTGCATAAAGTATCACAATCTATAGGTGGTGGAGGAAGTTGTCAAAGTCACCCTTAGGCCCTGCACTATGCTTCTGCATATGTGGTAAAATACAGACTGTTTACTCTAGTGTTATATTGCCTACTTTTTTAAAAGTAAAATTAATCAAATTTTAATTATATACTTACTCAAGGTTGTTTTTTATTTTTTTAGACTTAAGTGATTTTTTTGAAGAACAGGAGTAGTTATACTATGTTGTTTGAAAAACTACCAAGAAGGAAATTTACAATCAAAAACAGTTGGATTTTCCTGAAGGACACATTTCTCAAATCTCTCAGACCTAGGTTGTGTGACAGTCCTGATGACTGAGGAAATGATCCCCTAAGAGTGCACAATTCCAAAAGGTGAACCACATATATGAAGTCATTTGAATAATTAGTATAGTTTCTATGCTTAAGGGAATATTTCTAAATATATCAAATCTACCTCTGAATTAAAATTGATTTCATTTTCGTGTAATAATAATACTAGAGTTTCTCTGTAGTCAACACCTCTGTGTCTACTCTACTAGTCCCTCAAGATAAGTATTCATCAAGTCAACTCATTGTACAGGAAATGTTACACCTGTGAATGTGTGAGCCAAAAATGTTCTGTACACAAAAATCCCCTGGTTTCAGTTTCTATGTTTTCCCTCATCTATCTGCTTTCTACTCACCCCAAACCTGCATGTACCTGCATTCCTATCCAGACCCCATAGAAGTCTACCTATCTCAAGGAATATGTAAACAGGATAGTAAATTCCAGGATACTTCAAATTCTGCTTGGTGAGAGTCAATGCTTGTTAGCCTGCAGAGTTCTCACCAGTGGGAAATGAGAGCCCATTATTTACATGACAAACACCTGAAAAATAAAGATGTGCAAAGGGTTAAATAAGATATTCTGTGTCAAACACAGTCTTGAAAGGAACAAGAACATTAACAGATTAAATGTTTTTATCCCCTAGTATTGATCCTTTAAATCTCACTGGAAAATTAATGTAACTAAGCAAATGCATGCATATTATTGTACTCAGCTAAGACTTAATTTTTCTGACTTAAAGATCTAATATTCCTCTATGCCACAGAGCTTTAAATTACTTTCTTAAAATTATTAATGACAACATTAACCATCCTAAGGCTTTTTAGTTAAAAGGAGTTCAGCAATTTTATTTAAGTTATTAGCATTGTTTTATTGCTAAATGTATTAACTCATGTTATTGCTTTAACACTCAGGTTTAAAACAATTTATTTTATTTAATGTGTAGTTGAAAATGTGAACCAAAACTATTTGTTGAAAAGGTGTTTATTATAAGGGGAAATTATATACACATTGAGTCATTTGTTTATTCATTCAACAAATGTTTATTAACCACTTGGCTATTTGTTAATGTTTTTATTGCAGTGAACAAAACATGGTTCCTGCCCTGATGGAACATGCATTTTTGTCGAGGAAGATTAATTCATGCAAGAATGAATATATAATTTCAGGTGCTAAGAGAGCTTCAGAGCATTGAGTAATAAGGGTGAGTGTTATTTTAGATGTGTTGTTTAAAAAGACTCTTTGGGGAAGATGTCATCTGAAGACAGACTGGAATGAAATGAGGCAGCAAGCCATGAGGCTATTTGGGGAAGAGTGTCATTGACTGAGGGAACTCAAATGCCAAGACCCAGAGGCAGCCATTAAATAGGCAAAGGAGACAGTGTAACCCACACAGCTTAGATCTACACAAGGCTGGGCTACACCTCAGTGTGAGATTCGGGTACAGAGTTCCTATGTTTTATTAAAACGGGTTCTTATTCCCAGGAGTCATGGTTTCTTTCTTTTCTACTGAAGTACTTATAACTCTTCTCCAAACATTTTGGATCTTCTTGCCTAAGAAAAAATAAATATTATCTCATACAGCTCTCGTACAACTTTGCCTTATGCTAACATCATTACTCCATCAATTAAACAGAAGCTAATCTGCATTGCTGACACATATATCAGAGAGAAAAGAAAAACAAATTGGTGTGTTCATGGAAGAAAAAATAGGATGGTGTGCCCAGTGAGTGAGTACAAGTGCTAGAAAAGAATGTCAAATAAGTAGCTAAGAAGCCAGGATGAAATGCTACAATGCTTGGCCAAGGCCAAGTCCTACAGACCTTAGCACTCTGGATTTTATAGTAAATGTGATAAGAAGCAATTGAAGGTTATAAGCAGAAGAATAAAATAATCTTTCATTTTAGAAGGAACACTCTGGAAATTGTGTGGAGAATGGGATCCCGGAATCAAGAAAGAAAAACAGAATGAGTTAAGTAACTCTCCTGATAACAGACTATCATGGATTCATGGATTAAACATCATTAAGCTTCAGTCACGGTAATGAATGGTCAGATGGCGAATATATTTTTAAAGATAGAGTAATAGGATTTTCTGATTATATGTGGGCTATATGAAATAAAGAGAAATCAAATATGACTAAGCAATCTTTCTTTTTCTTGATCAAATTCAATATGCATATAATTTACTAAAATGCGATACACAGGGGAAGAGTAATTTTAATGGAGATTCAGGAAGAAATCTTCAGTCCCAGTGTTGAACTTACTTAGATTAAAATACCTAATGTAAGTCCAAGGCGGGATGTAAAGTATTAAATGAAGGAGACTGGCTGGGCCAGAACTATAAAAGCATAAGAACAACATTTGAAAATATAGAACTGGAGGAAATCACCTAAGGAGTAAGTATAAATACAGAAGATGTTAAAGGATTATTTTTTAATCAACAAATGACAAAAGACAACATAAGCCTGAGAAGGAGCTGAAAAGTGAGACAAGGGACACTCACTAGAGTGGGATATCACCAAATTGAAGAAAATGAATTGTTTTGAGATGTGAGAAGAATGACTAAATATTGTCAATAAGCTATATAAGGTGAGGAATGACAACCAGTGAGTGCTTTTCCGATGTATAGGTTGTTGGGTCAGAATTGCATGATCCCAGGAAGGCATTACTGAATCCCTCACGTATCTCACATTTGCTTCTAGATATAGCCCACACTTTTATTCTACCTCACAATAGTTGTCTATACTTGCCATCTCCATCTCATCTCCTCCCCTTCTATTCTCAATGCCTAGATGGGAAATATGACAGTAGGCTTATGAAGCAATGGAAATGATCTAGTAACAAGGGCCAAGTGATGCAAGAGAGGCAATAGATAAATGAGGATGTAAAACAAACGTAAAGAATGAGGGTAATTTCTCTGAAATGAGAACTTCCACTTTGATTATGGCCTTGTCTAAATAATGTGGGAGTTTGTGAATTCAAGAGGCTTCCATAGCCTTGGCAGCTCATGACAAAAGCCTCTGGTGATTACTAACATCATAAATAAGAGTTTCAATTGTTAAATCAACAACGGGAGTCACTGTGCACCTATTCCGCATATAAGATCTCTGTCCTTAATGTGTTGTACTATGTGAATTAACAGTAAAACTACTACTCAAACAGTACTTTATACTGTGTGTATCTGTGTGGGTGCAATCTGTTGAAATCTTTACTTAGTATATACTAAGTAGATCTTCTGTATATAAAGATAATTGAAAATGAATCTGTGGGGAGCAACCCGGACTGGACTGAGTTACTGGAATTAAGACTTATTCTATGCATCTGCTCTCCCACAATATGGCGCTGGGAGAGGAGAAAAACAGCTTCTACACAGCTGCCTCCAGTTCAACCAATAAACTGTAGGACCTGCTCCTGATTGGAGGAGAGCAGCGTACTCAGCGTGTGGGCAGCCGAGTTGGGATTGGTGGAAGAGGACTATAAAGGAGGAGAGAGACAACATGCACCAGGAACATCTAAGGGGAACATCTGAAGGAACACCTGTGCAGCCCCTGAGAGAGCCGGCCGGCGGTGTGCCACTCCCCCGCGGAAGTGGGGAATGTGGCAGGGGGAACCGCCCTTCCACGGAGGTGGAAGGGATGGTAGCCAACCCGGGAAGGACCAGCAGCCAACCCGGGAAGAACCAGCAGCCAACCCGGGAAGAACCAGCAGCAAACCCGGGGAGGGCCGAGCAGACAAAAGAACAGCACAGGGTCCTGTGTCGTTCCTCCACGAAGACGGGGAGCGACATAATGGTGCCGTGACTCGGATATGAAGCCTAGGCAGGGTTTAGTGTCGTTCCCCCACGAAGACGGGGAGCGACAGAATCTTGGTGAAGAATGGGCTGGGAGAGGGAGTGGGAGATGGGATGGTTGTGGGTGGGAGAGAGGTTATGGAAGGAAAAGCCTCTATAATCCAAAAGTTGTACTTTCAAAATTTATATTAAATCAAAGTTTAAAAAAAAGAAAAAAAGAATGAGGGTAAAATGCATGATATGTGTACATATCCAGGAAACTATAGGACTCCAATTGACAGTAAATAAGAGAAGGTTTTTGAAAAACACAGCTGACCTTACAAACAAATCAAATATTCCTAGAAAATGAAGCAGATACAAAACAGTGCCAGGAGTAAAGGTTGAGAGCTTACTGGGTTCAGAAATTAACAGGGGCACCAGTAAGATAAGTTATATTGACTAAAAAGGGCTGAAAGTGATCCATAAGTGTCTGACCAGAGCAAAATTTACTTCTGGAATCCCTTTAGCCAAACCCTGTCCTATTTTTGAATAAGTATTAGAGTTGCTGACCATCAATTGCATTTACAGTTTATATAAATTTCTTCCTTGGTGAAAAAAATGATGCCACAGGCACATGTGGCCATTTGTCTAAAAATAGAGACCAGTTAGTTACCCTCTGACTTAGTGACTCTTGGGGATATCTTCAATGTCACTGTGGAGAAAGAGGCCTGAATTGGCACAGGAAAACATAAGTTATACAAGAGGATCTCTGCTAAACTTCTAGGAGAGAAAGGAGTGTATGAGCATTTTACTTAAACAATCTGCAAATCAAAATTTAAAAACACATAAGGAAATACATAAGAGACACAACAAATCAATAATTTTGCAGGTGATATTAAAAATCACAATGATCTATGCAAAATACTTCAAATAATTATATTTAGAATCTAAGATGATATTCACAAAATAAATCAACATGTACGTTATAATATATCTGCAAAATATCAAAGAGAGAAGATACTTAAAAGCCACCTCAGGAGGGACTGGCGCTGTGGCGTAGCAGGTAGAGCTGCTGCCTGCAGTGCCAGCATCCCATATGGGCGCCAGTTCGAGACCTGGCTGCTCCACTTCCGATCCAGCTCTCTGCTATGGCCTGGGAAAGCAGTACAAGATGGCCCAAGTCCTCGGGCACCTGCACCCACGTAGGAGACCCAGAAGAAGCTCCTGGCTTCAGATCACTGCAGCTCCAGCCATTGCAGCCATCTGGGGAGGGAACAAGCAGATGAAAAACCTCTCTCTCTCTCTCTCCCTCTCTTTCTCTGCCTCTCCTCTATGTGTAACTGCGACTCTCAAGTAAAATAAATAAATCTTAAAAAAAAGCCACCTGAGGAAAAGAACTGCTGACTTGCAAAGGAACAATAATTCTACCTACAGCAGATGTTGGAGCGGCTCAATCATGCCAGAAGAAAATGGAATAATATATGCAAATTATTAACCTAAATCTAAACTTGATACCTTACTAATTATTATTTTAGAAGGCCAAATTAAATGCCTATATAATGAAATCATTAAAACAGTTTGCCACCATATACACACCAAAATCTATAAAGCATGAATTCAGCAATAAGAAAATACAATACAGAATGAAAGAATAGAATGAACAATACATAGTTGATTTTCTTCATTCACAGTAATTATGTTCTATTATATTGCAAAGAACACTGAATTCATCAAAACTGAACCTAGTGGAAATAAATCTACAGGTCTATATCTATGGCTATAAATACCATATAAATGATAATCTTAAACTCTAAAACATATCTTATCCTGATATATTGTCTTCTTTATCTTACAAAAGAGAAAATGAAGTTGAGAAGTGTTTAGCAACTTGTCACCCAATGAACATATGCCAGATTTAGGAATCAAACTCAGCCCAACTGGTCCCAGAGATGCAACTTCTTGCTGCACCATCTCCAGTCTCTGGTTATCTCTGCATGAGAGATGAAAGACAATGCAGAGCATAGCCTTATTTGGCCTCAGCTGTGAGTGTGTGTGTTGGTTGACTCAAATTTCTCACCAGGCTATGCTTGTCCAGAAATGAACATGAAGGCTACACGTATTAATTTTTAGGTTGCAAAGAAATTTTAATGAATAGGCAAATTTATAAATATGGAATCCTATAACAATGAAGATCAACAGAATACCTGACTACAGTCAATGTTATCAGTATTTTCTAAGATTACTTGAAAAATAATGTGCTATGCATTTTGTTCTTTAAAAACATACATTTCCAGGCAGGAAAAATAAGATAACAGGACACTATTCATGAAATTAGTAGCTCAGGTTAAATACTATTTATTTCTCCCTAGGGAATAAATTAGATATCAAGTTTACAGAAAAGAGTTAATATAATAGGCCTGACACTGCTATCCTTAGATATTTGTAAGTTTAGCTCTTGGCTGGCATCTGGGAACTAGCAACTCAGGAGGGTTCCCACCATTCTCTAAATGATAAAGGCGATTTTGAGGACCTAAAGGATTTGTGCAAACAATGTGGTTTATGCCAAACACCTGCTTTCCTTCTTGTGGACTGGGATTTTGATACATGCTAAGCAGAGGACCTTGAATCCAAATGCTTTGGGCATTGAGTTTCTAATGAGCCTTCTTGGTAGACAACATCTCACTCATGTTGGCACAACTCATTGCTGGAGGGATTAAGTGATCCACTGGGAATGAATTCTTGGAAACTTGTGCCAGATTTCCCACCATGTGCCTTTTCCCTGTGGCTGATTTTTGCTTTGTACCCTTTTTCTAAAATAAATCAATACATCAAAGTTTTAAGTATTACCCTATGCTTGAGTTCTGTAAGTTTTCCTGGTGAATGGCTGAACCCAGAATGGTCTTGGAAACCACCACACATAAATTAATCTGGATATTTTATTCAGTCTTTTAAAAAAGGAGATACTGCTATGTGTGACAACACAGATTATCTGAGAGGACATTATGCTAAATGAAATCAGCCAGATACAGAAAGAAAAAAATAATAATACATATTCTCATTTATCTATGGAACCTAAAAGTGTTGACCACTTAAAAACAGAGTAGAATGGTAGCTACTGGGGCAGGGAGCTGGGGGAAATTGGGAGATGCAGGTTAATGGGTACAAAGCTTGCAGTTATATAGTATAAATAAGTTCAGAAATTTAACATACAGCTTGATGGGTATAGTTAATAATGCTCTATTATATCCTTAGCAATATTTCAGGTGTGT